GTTCATTGCTGCAGAGCTCTGCTTGTCTGGACAAGGTCTCTGTTGCACAAGAGAGCCCTTGAAGTTTTGATTTCTGCCTTGTTTACTTTGCTAATGCTGGGTAAGTCAGCAGGGTATGTATTTCTGGTAATTCTTTCTTAGCTGCAGCTCTGCATCAACCCTAGCTTCACAGGGATTACTGGACTATGCTGTCTCATCCTTGCAGGGCAAACTTTGGAGCGGGCTTGCATGATGCTGTTGCACTTCCTTCCTACACTAGCTCACTCCACCTCTTTCACCAGACCAGCAGCAGCAGCAAATTTCCTTTAGAAATCAGAGCCCGTTGCTCAGCCCACCAGCATGGCTCCATGCAGTGCCCAGGCTCCTACACTACAGGGTCCTGGTGCAGCACAGAACCTAGCAGAAGGATGCTCCACCCCTGGTCTGCCAGCTGCACACCAGGACAGATGAGGAATCACAGGCAAGTTTTCTTGCTTTTGGGTGACATCAGGTTCAAATTATACCTAGCATTAAATTCAACAGTAGCTTGGTTTTTATAAAGCAGCAACAGTGCAATAGGTATTAAAAACTGAACGATGGCTTGTAGGTTTCAGAGTTAACACACAGCCTGAGGTATCCCGTCTCCAAGAGCTGCTGTCTGAAATCACAGCAGTCTCCAGTACGACATGACAGCTATGAAGCTGGCACTGCAAAGCTGATCTTTCAGGGGAGACAAATTTCAGATTTTTTGTTGGTGGGGTTTATTTTAACAAAAACATTCCGTTCATCATCTGAAATGCAATTGTCAGAACAAGGCAGAGATCCTGCAGAACAACTCAGCTCCCTGCTTGTTGCCCCAGGCACTGAGGTGGGTCATTCCAGCAAGCTGACTTTTTCATTATGGAAAGAAGTTCAGAAACACACAGGAAAACAGGAAAAGAAAAAGAATCCTGAGAGTAAAGTCTGAGAATGAAAAGGTCCAGACAACGCAGCGTGCAGACTATAGATCGGGCACGTGTATTTGCTGCCCTTCAAACCACCTTTGGGGTAGCAAAGGTCCAAAGGGTGATGAAGCCAGTGTTGAGCCTGGAGGAGGCTGTTTAACTGAGAAGGGGCATGAAGGAAGAAGAAAATGATGACACTGGGATGGGAAATAAAAGGTGTATGAGGGTAGTGAGTGAGCAAGGAGATGCCTAGTAACAGTGATCCGGAATTTTCTGAAAAACCCTTTCTGACTTTTTGGGCAGTAATGCATTATTTATAGAAATTATCATCTGTACTTTGAATTCTGCCTTTGAAAGGTAAGCAGAGCAGACCAACACAACCTACAGACTTTCTTATCACACAGGCATGAGGACTGTGATTTTCTGGCATGTGTGGCTCATCTGTGGCCCATGAAGACAGAGCATTGACACTGCACAACAGGAGGATTCAGTTAGATGCAGGGAGATGACTCCAAACTATGTATGGGGCAACTTACATGGTATTCCACTATCCCAGAGAAATCACCACCACCTATAGGTTCCTTTCTTGACCTGTTAGCTCCAAGAACCTTGTTGTTATCACCCACTCCTCTCATAGGTCTCCAAGACAGGGCCCTCAATGATCTCCAATAAAGTATGCTTTGTTCAATTAGTCCAGCATGTAATGCTTTGTTCTCATGAATTTTGGAGCTCCTCTGATGTGCAGCAAGGCAATTGAGACTTAATTTCATTATGCATCTCAATATGTTCCTGCTGTATTCAGAGAACAGACTATGGGCCCTCCTGTGGCTAATTTAGCACCTGCAAATCCCCATGCTTAAAGCCAAAGGCTGAATAACCTACTAAAGGAATTTGCAGGAATGACACACAGGTCAAATCATCACGCTTGCTGGGAAGACTTTTCTTCTTTTTCTTCAGAAACTGTACACACTTTTCCTGTCACAAAAGGAGACCGTTGTGCCCTAGTTCTCAAAGACCAGGCTGCATCCCACAAGTGTGTGTGTGTGTATATATGTACAATTAAATACATATATATATGTATTTAATTGTTTTCAACAAAATCTGAGCAGAGTTTCAGGGCAAGCAATGTACCTGAAGGAGGTGGGCCATGCTCAGATTGGGGCTGTTAACAGCTACCTCCTCAGCTGCCATTGAACATGCACTGAAGTTAAGCAAACATAGGCTATTTAAGCTCAAATAGGTTCCTAATGAAACGTTCTTCAGCTAAGTGAGCAGACTCTGCACTAGTATGAACATCAATCCACCACAAACATAGCAGATTCTAGAAGTCTGACAAATATTTAAGTGCAGTAAAAGTGAGGACTTTGTCTAAATATGCAAGATGCTATCTACCTTAAATCAGATGATGCAGCTTTAGAATTGCTTAGCTTCATTAGCTGTGCTTAGTCATTCTCACTGTTTGCACTCTTTAAGATGCTTTGGACTTTAGTAATCATTACTGTAGATAACCAAGCCACAACAGGAATTTGCATATTTACCCTAGCCCCTCCATATTTTGTTTTAGATTATGAATTTCAGAATGTCGGAAGAGAATGGTAGTAAGATTCAGTACCTTAAGTCACATAACCACAACGTTATGCCACTTTCTTGGTACAACAGCAAGACCGTTTTTCTTCAACTGTATAACCCAGGCTGAAAGCCCCTCTAAAAGCTCATCTGTCCAAGTTCAGTTTAGGATTTTTTTTTAAACCACTGAGTATGCATGACTGAGTATTTGTTATGCAACCATAACAACTGTCCTTTTCAAGAAAGATTCCTGCATAATGTGGATACAGAGAATCCAAGGCAAACACAACTTGATCTTAAAACTTTAATAGTAAAAAAAGTGTAAAACCAAACACACTGCTGAAAACTTATCAGTAAGAATGAGAATTTAAGTGTTCAAATTCAGGATAGTGCAAATTTTCTTCACTCCCCTCCCCACCTCTTCCAAACTTAAATCACTTTGGTTAAGATACTCAGAAGTATTGGCAAAAAATGAACTTTTTGACTTAACATTTTTGGCTGCATTATGTTTAACACATACAGATTCAGTTTCAGTCTTTACAAATAAATCTTAAATACTTCTCTATCAATCAAATATCCATAGAGATCACTATCATCTTTACTTACACCTGGTTTTATAAAGTTTTGAAATTGGTTTCAAGATGGTTACAAAACCGTCTTCCCCAGCAGATAGTAAACTCCTTAAAAGAGCTGAGCTGCTCCAGTCCTGATCTGAGGACCTAATTTCTTCAAGTAGTCCTATAAAATGTGATTATTTATCTTTTAAACATTTGAGGAAGAATCTTATACCAATGAAATTACTCTTGATTTACACCAAAGCAAGATTAGAATTGGGGTCTGCTCTGCAATATAGGCTTTGTGCTAAACTTTTCCTGCTAATAAAAAAAAAAAAAAAAAATAAAATAAAGCACAAGCAGAAGTTATAGCATTCCCTTAGAAGAGTGAAAGCAGCCAGAACACTGCTACCTAGCCTCAATGTCTTTTTTGATGGGTCAGTCTTTGACTGATGCCTGTAACTATATCTGAAGCCATGTAAGATTGGAAATGCGCACACACACACAAAAGAAAAAAGCATAATACAAAAAGGCAAATACATAAAAGTTTACAAGTACACCATAATCACAAAATTGGAGTATTTCTAAAAATTTGGGTTCAATGAATGATACGACAAAACTAACTTTACTAGTTAAATAAATTATTGCTCCATTTGACTCCATGCAGCATTGAAATGAACTCAGAACCCTCTTCTCTTTAATCTCTCATTAGAAATGATCGATATTGAAGAGAACATGAGGCTCAGATTTACTGTACATTGCACTTCAACTTTTAAGACCTAATACTTGCTACTTAGGTCTCCTGTGGTCTAAGCTATCAAATGAATACGTTGTGCTCACCAGAACTAAGTATTAAGAAACACCGAATGTTTTATGTAGTGACATAAGCACTTTTTTCTTTTCTTTTTTTAAGAAGGCAATCACAGATTGCAAGTTCAATAGGGTTCTGAAAAAACAAGTAATGATCTCCTTCAGAAACTGAACTAAGAAAACAAGCTGTTCGCTATTCTTCACATACAGTCTGAATCACATTTTAGGACCACTTCCATTTCCAACCATTTCAGTCAAAACCCTGACTCAAAAAGAGGAACAAGGATACCTCTAGGAGGAAACTATGAATCTAAGGATTTGGGGGCACATACTCAGTGGCCAACCAATGACCTGCAATGCACATTTTGTAGTGACACCAGCATTTAAGATATCCAAGACCTCATTCAGTGAGATACTGAAGCATATGTCTAATATTAAGCAAGAATACTCACACACACTTAAATTTCTTACTGAATTGGGGCCAAACTTGATTCTTGCAAATCTAACTTGCAAGCTTCAGAAGTAATGAGATTTCCAGCCAGAATTTCTTGATATAGTTCATGTTTGAACAAGATTGTCTCTAGTGTTCACCTATCATACTGAAGTAGTTTAGAAATTCCAGACTAAGTGACTTCCAACTTTTTGTCCCTCCAACCCTCTCCACCAAAGACAGAAACGTAATGCAGCATTACAAGTAAGGGCATGATTCCTTCATAAGACTCCTAAAAGCATTAGTGCAATGCCTTTAATCTGTTTTGATCACTCTTATTTTTAAATAACCCTATTTTCAAAGATTTGGATAAATACTATTCCTATTAAACCATACTTCATCATTGTTAAGCACCATCGATCTACTTCCTTTGGGCACTGATACAAGAGCTTGTAATTAAATTTCAGTTTCAAGGCTTTAAAATACGGCAGCTGATTCAATAACTTACACTGGAATCTTATACTTGGAAAACTGCCACTTAGCCTGAACAGTTGTATGCAACTCGGTGTTAAAACTCTTCCAGAGAACAGCCGTATGCAAACGCTTATGCGGTAAATCAGGGTAAGATTTCAAGATAAGCAGTTAATTTCACTTGGCTATTCTAAAAGTGGATTAATTTTTTTTTTCCCCACAAGTCATTTGTGCAGTGAGCCCATAAATTTAAAACAGGAACATATCTTCGCAATGTTGCTTTCACACTGGCACCATGCTCTCTTCTTCGAAGACTTAGTCATTGTGTGGTTTCTCTGGAATACCCTATGGATAAAAAGAAGAAATCAAACAGATGTTATATATTAATGCCTTCTGATAAGTGCCTACATTTTGCAGTATTTTCAATGATCAAATAGTCAACTAACTTTAGTTAGGCTGAAAATGGACATTAATTCAGTTTTTTTTAACAGCCCTCTTTCAAACTGCCTTCAAGCATATGTTGCTTTATTTTCCGATCAAAGTCTGGTATCAGATAGGCTTACTAATTTCCTAAGTCCCTTTTCTAATATGAAACCCTACAGTATGTCAGTGTAAGAAATTTAATCAACTTTTCTTTAAAACAAAGCTTATTATATGTTCTCATTCTAGAGTCAAAATGCAAATACATTTGCAAGCACTGAATGCGTTCACAGTTCTACAGCTCCTAGCAGTATCAAACGCTAAGTATTTCTGAGGTCTAAGTTTTGAATAGCACCCTAGTTTGCCAGATGCTGAGAGTAATGGTTACAACTCAAAATGAACTGTTGCCATCCATTTAACCCAGCTGATGAGCACTGACTGACAACTTAAGGTGTCAGAATGAGCAGTGAGAGCTGATGGCAGTTACTGCAAGTAAGCTCACTTGAAATCCAGTGCTGAAAAGCAGTAAGCCATCTTCCAGATAGCATTTCTCAGGATGGGAATAGATGTCACAGGGACACTTCTCATTCTGCTTAATCTAATTCTTTTTCTAACTGCAAAAGCTAGACAGCAGCTGAGGAGGAAGTGAGGCAACTTTACTCCACTAGAGCAACTTCCACAGGTGCTGTGTTCTACTCTAGACCTGGCCAGAAAATATCTGCTGTTTGATCTGCAATTGTCACATGTAGACAAACAGCTCAGGGAGCTGTTTGCAGGAGAATACACAACAAAAATAACAGTTTTATTCAGGCTTAGTTTAAAAAGTGCAACATTCCATCTTCTTGACACATTCACAATGGCTAACAAAACAGACAGACTTTTGGGTCATCTCTATAGAAGAAAGACCTAGTTGACTGCATGCTACCATTCTATTTTAGAAGTGGAATTCTTTGACTTTCAGCACGGAATGCTTCATAGTGATTCGCAGAAGTGTCCCTATGAAAATGTTGGGCTTCTCCAAGTTTTTCCAGATGAAGTAATGGTAAGGTAAACCACATGAGCCGATGCTTCTAGATAACCAGGATAATTTGCCTTGTCAACTTCTCTCTTTCTTTATAAGGAAGATGACAAGATTGACAGATAAGTTGCAGGTAGGAGTCAGTCTGATTTTAGTTACATTCAGGTGAGATGCCAGGTGAAAAGAAGTCAAAGGAAAAAAAGAATCCTATGTGCTTATGTGCCTAAGTTTATTTTAGCTCTTTAAGGATCACTTCCTTTGCTTTCTAACATAAGAAGCAGAGCAACTGAAAGTACTGTGTATGACAATGTGAAATACAGAACTGTAGCAGATAACTGACTAAATTTTTATTCTGAAACTCTGCTTGCAATAGCAAAGCTTAAATAAAACTGTACACTAATATATCTTTTTACTTGATGTGAGTGGCAAATTTAAAAAGAGAAATTACACCCTCTTTTACCCCCCAATATATGTAGTCCTATGAAAAAGCGCATGCAGAGATTACGCACCACTGGGATTTGAAGGGGGAGTAGTGAGCTTGTTTTTTAAAGAACCAAAGCAAACCAAAACGGACTGTGAAGTTAAGATTGTGACCATTGTCCCAGGAGATCTGTAACTTGGTATCGAGTCAGCATGAAAGAAAACCCTCAAGAACAGGACTAGATTTGCCCATTCTCTCTTTTTTTTTTTAAAAAAAACCAAAAACCCCAGCCTTTTCTACAAGAGGTTACTCTTAATTTAGTGTAACTGAAAATCAATACTAAAGAAATTGATCTTCAGTGTTAGCCAGTGGTGGCCAAGCAACATGGCTCTCTTCCCCAGCTTGTAAGCAAGCCTGTCGATCTGCAGCATCAAGTTAAGACTATCCACATTAGAAGTACATTAACATCCATCCACCGAGTTAGCAAGGCTAGGCAGAAGAGACAGAAAGCCTGTTTCAGGAAAGACTGCTAGCTCCAGACTTAGCTTTTTACTCATTTGTTGTTCAGCCCCAAAAAGCATCTCTCCCCCTTACTAAAGAGTTCAGAGACTAGTATTTCGGGAACTTCTAAGTCTACAAATACTTTTCCTTCAGTAAAAATTAAAGGCACCTAAACCACAGCAGTTAAATACTTAAAGGATGTTTTCCAGGATAAAGGACTTATGTAGCAAAGATGACAGATGTTAAATCAATACAGTATTATTACTATGCATCAGTGTCAGAACACTTTTAACAACCAAGCCTTAGGCTGAAGTGCAAGCATACACCCAGGTTTACTTTCAAGTATGCTACAAGGAAAAAAAAATACTTAAGAACCTAACAAATGAGATAGTAATTTATACTATATTATCCCATATATTGAGTGATACTTGAACTAGCTCTTGAGAGATCAGAAAGAGCATAATTGATAAGAGTGGTGGACTTTAATGCCATACAGGGATGTTTCCTTTCATCTACATAACAAAAATGCTTTACTGCATAAATAATTAGAGAAAGCCCATCTGTGCCTCAGTTTTCTAGCTACCTTAGATGTTAATTCAAAATACGGATGGAGCAGGAGTGACTGAGATTCTCAGCAGAAGTGGAGTACTCATTCTAGTCTTATTTAGGCTGCTGCTGGAAAAAGTTAAGTACAGAAGATACTCAAACACTTACTAAGACAATTCCTACTCTACTGGCAACACAGGTTGTACACTTACAATTCAACTCTTGGGAAGATATCTATTTATCTCTGCCAATTTGTGAGTCATACCCTTAAAGCAATAGTTTGTTCTTGGACTAAGAACAATAGAAGGTATTTGGATTATTAAAGGAAATGCTAATTATAGAGTAATTACCATAGCCAGTTGGCGTCCTATGTTTCCTACAGTCACACCTCCTGAGAAAAATATACATGGAAGCCAAGAACGGATGTAAAGAAAATCTGGGGATGTATACCTAGTAAAGAAATGGAACTAAGTTATAAACAAGTTATTATCATCACTGTACATACCATTAAGAAGATGATATAGAATTTTCTCCCCAGGCCCAGATAAAAAAACCCCAACAGTAACACGGAAGGAATAGGGAGACCAAATTAAGACTGTTAATTTAATGAGTTTCTAAACCTAACCAGCAAAGTTTGGAAATTCTCCCTCCTGAGAGCCAGTTAATAAGACTAAGTGTTCAAGGCCAGGCTGCATGAGGCTTTGAGCAACCTGGTCTAGTGGAAGGTGTCCCTGCCCATGGCAAGGGGGTTGGAATTAGTCTTTAAGGTCCCTTCCAACCCAAACTATTCTGTGATATGATTCTGTGATATACCAAGTCAGTAGAAGTTCAGTTTGCTGAGCTGTTACTATTTTAACATACATACCAATTTGTCTGTTCCCCACCTTCCACCCCCAGTTCTCAATCTGATCAACTGGAACAAGTGGACAATTAGCTGCCAGGACAAACAAAATGTCTTACGATAAGAACATGGTGTATGCACTAATTACTAACTTCCAGTGCCTGTGCAACCCTGTTTTCAGTCAGGAGGACATGACAGTAGAAAGAATATTTTAAAAGCATAACTTACTGATAAACACCATTATATACAAGAAACTGGGTTATCAGAGTTGCTACAAAGGCTATTGTAATTCCAAGTCCGAGACCACTTCTTGAACGATCAAATGTCCACCAAAGACCCAGTGATAAGGCTGCTAGAGTCAGGGACAGCTGGACGTTGTTTGCAAAATCTAGTTTCTGGAGAAGGATGTTAAGGATAATGCTTTTAAGTCTGCAGACATGCTGCTGCTGATACTGAACAAGGGAGAACTCAAACTGAAAGTGAGCATGGTTCTGTATCTCTAACTACAGTATGTTAACGATCTGGTTGTTAGACCTGCCAAACAATCATAGCACTTGTTGAATTTGACTGGACTGTGAGTGCAAAAGACATTTTTTTATTACATTGAGCATCTAAAGAAGATACTATATTGTAATATATTTAACTTTCATGGACTTTTACCTGAAGTGACCTAGTTATCCTTGCTGATTTAGGTTTTCTGCTCAAACCATCATTATCTTACACAAATAACACTCTTACTGAGAAGTTCAGTGTATGTTGCCAGTTAATTGTGTTAACTATTAGATGTAGACAATATGGATTAAAATAACACAACTTGTACTGTTATGCTTGCAGTTAAATCGGACATACTATGATGTGTCTTTTCCCACCCCAGAACACCCCCCCCCAATACTTTTAAGTGAAATGTGTTATTTATCTTAAAGTAAGTACTGCAGTGTGCTGCAGGTCTCTCAGAAGTTTACCTCTCTGCCAGTAGTACCATCCTTACCTTCGTAATTCTCCCAGATGTGAATGGGAGAGACTGTTTTCATGACAACAGACTAAGCACATGGAGCAACAACATAAACTATTTCAAGGATACAGCACTTGCATGGTTAATGCCAACAAAAACTGCTATACATCGCATTACGCTGGCCCATTCTCTCTTGAATTTGTGTGGTTCCCCCAGGTGGCTGTCAATGCAGGGATACAGCAGACCAACGACAGCTGCAAGAGAAGTAACACTACTTGTACTAACTCTTATACAATTACTACTTCACTATTGCTAAATATTAATTTGGCAAATAAGTGCTTGACAAAGTAGTGAGGTGCTTATCATATGTTATCACATATTAAGTCTGATGAAGAAGAGACAATTATCACCCCCCTCCTTTAGGAAAGAAATCTACTGTAACAAGCAATATTCTGTTAGAACTTTTAAAGCGGAGATATATACTGCACTGTCAGGTATCTGACTTCAAGCTTCTTTTCTCCCATGAGCACATATAGTTTGACATCCTGAGGAGATGCTTGTACCAATAAATAACAAAATGTAATGAAAGCTTAATTACAGCTAGGAATGGAATATGTGTTTACTGCTCACTTGCAGGGCAGACAGTTTTATGAACTTGACTCATTAGCTATGAATCAGGCCCAGCATTAAATATTTGCCTGGATGCAGAAGTCTCTTGGCAGCGCTGCTTTCTCTCCTTCTGCTGGGCTGTAAGTCAGCCTGTGCTCCCAGCCAACTCAGAGAATAATTTTGATACCAAACAGAAGCAGAGCTGAACTTGGAGAAACACCTGCCATCAGTCTTATTTATGTCAAGGAAAAATAACTACTCATACTATTAACCACACAATGTTTTTATCCTCATATACCATTTTCTCAGTCTTACCAGTCTGCAGATTGGTTGCAGAAATAAAACATAGGCTAGCGTTAGCTCAGTTGCTAGCGTAAACACTAAGTAAGTTCCACTTTTTTAAGCCTTGCGACTCCATGTGTTGTCATCAACTCCAAGGTTAGACATGCTGCTTTAACTATGTGTAACATCTATGTGTGTGTGTGTGTGTGTGTGTGTGTGTGTGTGTGTTTCCTTTCCTACCCTCTCCCCCTCCCCCTGCTCCCAACGCCTAAGAGGAAGAACTTCTATGCTCGGAAGGCTACAAGAAGTACCATTTTAAGACAGACATGTGATCCGATTCTGGAACAGTTTCATCCTTCTGATGCTGGTTACCAGAACTTTCACCTTAAGGTGACAGCTAGATGCCAAAGTTCGATCCAACTGTGACAACGCTATGAGAACTTTTGAGCATAAACCGTGGCAACCTATCTACTACGCAGATTACCACTCGAGGTTACGGTTTACCCTTCCGCCTTCCTTGTAATGAGGTTCAAATAACACATATCACTGTATTAACACGGGTGCTGGTGGTGGAGGGGTAACGCCGCCGCACGTGACTTCCTTGTTTTCGGACC